AGTGCACGCATGGTATGCTTTTCCTTGCCAACTCTGAGTCACTGCTTAAAGCCATCCAAGGCTACCCAGGGTACAGAAGGCACAGACCATGGCACATGCTTGTCCAGGTCATTGCCACCAGCTGAGATATTATGAATTGTACAGAAGGGAGAGTCTGGGGTGGGGGCCAATTGGTGCCAGCCAGGAGGTCACCTGTCAGTTTGAGCATTAGAAGATATGTCACCTTCCTAGAACACATGCTGTCAACACTTTGGGTGGAATCTAACTTGATATTAAGGTGAAGATTGCCAGACCAAGCTCAGACTTCAAAGCAAAACAAAGATCATCTTTGAAGCTTTGGTTGGCCCCCCACGTTCTGTGTGTTGTGTCTGCCCTGCTTCAGAGGCTTGGCTTACAGAGCAATGATTCTACATCGATGTCTGGATGAAGCCTTAAGCTGCCATCAGATGCATCTGTTGGTCTCTGGACAGCCCTGCTCTCCGCATCCCAGCCAACTTTGTAAAGAGGCTTTGGCAGTGATTTCTAACAGTTCAGGGCCTATCAGAACAACACTAAAGCTGAAGGCCCCTGAGGGTTTGTTAGGGGCCAGGCACTGGGGGAACCTCTACGTGAATGATAGATGGTGTGGTGATGAGACACAGACTGCATAGGTTCAGATCCTGGCTCTACTCACTGCCGTTGGGTGATGGAGGGCATGCCATCTAACCTTGATGTGCCGCTGATTCCGTTTCTCTGTGGTGTGTGCACGTGTGTGCATAACAGGAGTAACCACCACATAGAGTTGTCAGGAGGCTTGAATAAAGATAAACACGTGGGGTGCTCAGAAAAGGGATCATGGTGTCATAAGCACTAAATGATCTAGGACCTCATTCCAGCGACAACGTGCGTGAGCAAGCACTCAATGTGAGTAGGCTGTGACTCTCACGTGGTGCGTGGAGCTGAGATGTGGGTGCATTCCCTCACTTGTAGTCAGGTGCCTTGTAAGTGCCTAGATCATAATTCAGGTTGAGGCACTGTGTGGGTGTGCTCTGTGGCCCAACTGAATCGGACTGATTTAGCTGCTGTCATTCTTTCCATTGTGATTGATGCTCAAGTGCAGTGTCCTTACTGCAATTTAAGACCTTTGTCATTTATCTTGCATTTAGTGGATTAAAAGAAGAAGCCTATTTAGAATTACTTAGCCTATATATTTTTTATTTTTTCTTTCAAAGATTTTATTTATTTATTTTAGAGAGGGGAAGGTGGGGAGGAAGAGAGGGAGAGAAACATCATTGTGTGGTTGCCTCTTACGCCCCATACTGGGGACCTGGCCTGAAACCTAGGCATGTGCCCTGACTGGGAATTGAACCAACAACCCTTTGGTTTGTGGGCCTGCACTCAATCCACTGAGCTACACCAGCCAGGGTGCCTGTGTTTTATTCTCTTATAGAGTTTAGTAGCAGTTTTACCTCAGCATTTTCTATTTCTGCTACAGAGGGTTTTAATTCTCTGCCACCAGTCTTGAAGACGGTAACCCTTCTCCACCCCCCTGCTCCTTCATCTACCTTCCCACTGCTGATCACTGTCAGAGGAGAAATACCTGCAGTGGCAAACCTGCTGGCTCGGTACCTAGGATGCCCATTCCCATGGAAACACAACAGGGAGTGGTCGCACAGGTCAGGTAAAGCTGACTTGGCTTGCTGCCCGATTTTCATCTGGTTCAACCTGATTTCCTCAGGCTTGGGGAAGAGGGTTTGTCCTCCTTTATTTTATTGTGAGTTTGTTCTTCCTTCCAGGGCTTTCCTCTCCAGTAGCAAGGCCTTTGGTTGTGTGTCTGTGTCCCTGAGCTCTCTGCATCAGACCCCAGCTCTTCCCACTATGGGGCTGGCGGTACGCATGCAGGAAGGCACCTCACCGTGAAGCCACAGGTTCTCGGACATGCAGGCCTTCTTACCTCCATTGCCGGGTGTCTTTTATTTTAACACATGGGAGTGCGTTAGGCTCTCCAGGGATTACTCCAAATTTAACTCTATCTGGAAGCACAAAGGATGGCTATTTTTCCTCCACACATATGATCTTGCAAATGTTTCCAGTTGGGACTTATTTATAGATTCTTCCTTCTGCAGCTGGAAAATTAATATTTGTTTTTGGCAGCATTCACAGAGATGCTAGGCACCCCAGAACTGATGAGTCTGCCAGTTCAGCACAGATCAGTCTGGTCAGCACTCAGGGATGGGAGGCCCTTGGGAATCCAGGACAACAACGGGTGAGCAAGCGGAAGGGAGAGGGCAAAGAGCACTGGCCTCAGAGTCCTGGGTTCTAGGTCAGGGCCAGCCAACCTGTCAGACTGATCCGGATCATGTCCCTTCACTGTTGGGGTCTTAGATGAATGTCATCCTTCCCAGATGTAAAAGAAAAGTGCTTTCTAAGCTGTGAAATGTTGTGATTTTAGGATTTGGGAAAAACCACACTTCCTAGTTTATTCTGGAAGCACGGTCCTGGGCTTTTGAGCCAGGACTGAGTTATAATCCAGCTGAGCCTCTCTCTGATTCTGTAGCTCTGGACTCTTGTTCCTTCATCTTCCAAGTGGAGATGATGATGGTGCTCACTTCCTAGAGTTGTCAGAGGAGCAGTGCTCATGCGCAAGACCATCTTGTGCCACTTCAGCACGCGGCAGGTACCCAGTGCACTGTGGTCTCCCACACCGGTATGCTGCTGGTCCATTGACTCCTATGTACCCACAGATGCCCAGCAGCATGGAGGCAGAGTGGCCTCTGGTGACAGAGACAAAGGCGAGTTGAGAAAGAAAAAGAAAAGGTTGTTCTCGGCACCTTCCCATGGGGCTCCTTAATCAGAGCTGGCCCCTTTCTCCCACATGTGCTGTTGTTGAGCAATTAGTGTTCCGGGTGGAGCCAAGACCAGGGCACAGGGAGTGCCTTTGTTTTAGTCTTGTAAATTTCAGCCCAGGTTGCAAGGAACAAAACCCCAATTCATTTGAGAGATACTCCACATCTGAGTGCCTGCACCTAGCCAGGGGAGAGACTGCTGGCAGTCGCGGGAGCGGATGGTGAGCTCGGTGGCTCTGGCAGCAAAGGACACGAAAATGCTAAGAGGTGTGGAAGGGCCTTTTACTATAACTGGCAGAAGCTGGCCAGTGTCGGTGCCCCGGCGATGTGGACTGTCCGGGGACATGCCCAGGAAGCCCGTTCTAGAGTAGGCCTAAGTGAAGCATCCGTTTCCTTGGACAAATCATACCCAGCCCGAACCTCATTCACTGTATGTGTGTGTTTAGTGAGAAGGTCTCACTAGTTCTCTTCAAGGCCCCTCTGGCCCTGGAGCACTCAGATTTCGTAAAAACATACCAGATTTTCAGGGCAGGTGTTCTTCCTTGCCCGCTCGCTCTCTGGCGTCGTCTCTGTACTCGGATCCTGTGAACGTCTTCCCCCTCTGACCCCACTCCCTCTCTGATACTCTGCTTCAAGGCTGGAGGGATTATCATATCCAAAGCATCCCAGGAAAAAAACAGTTGAAATATCCAGGATAAGAAAACAAACCAGCGAGAGGTGAAGAGGTGTGTAATTGCCGTTCTTTGTGTCGACTCCTAAAGCTGCATGTTCTAACCATCTCACGATGGTGGGGGTTTTTCTGGGGTTTGAGAGGCCGGTGTAATACCCTCATGTTTTCTTTTTTTCTAGGAAAATATAAGAGGAATTCATTTTCTTTGGGATTAACAAAATCTTTCTTCTTTTATGTCGGCAATGTGAGGTCTTGGCAGATCTGATCTTGTGCTGAATAAAAATATAGCATTACAATGGAGTGCGGAGGCCTGGGGCTTGAACCCAATTTGGATTACGGTGCACAGCCGCAGGCGCTCTGGGACAAACGGAGGTGGTAGGAGTCTTTGAGTGCCGAGGGACAGCCCCCGGGACCGAGCCCCACTCACCCTGCAGACTGCTCCCTGCCCACCTGAGGCCCGTGTCCAGGCAGCGGGGCCCACAGTCAGCGCTCCCAGCAGCAGGCTGGCAGTGAGCTGTCAGCCGGGCCAGCAAGGGGCACCACTGTGTAAAAGCGGCTGTGGTTCAGCTGGGAAACTCAAGAAGGTTGGGATGTTGGTTAAAACATTTAACATCTCCAAGGTTCAGTGTCTCTCTCCATAAATTTGGCTCAATCATTTGTCTCTCAGGGCCTTGCCAGCCTGGAGGCGCAGAGGGATCATGGGGACTGCCAGGGTCAATGTGTCTGCCGGCGGGGCTGGGGCTCTCACTGAGGCTCCGGGAGCTGGGGTGCTGGTCAGGTAGAGAGAAAGAGAGGGGACGTCCTGTGGTGGAGAGAGTAGCCACTGTCTCTTTTGACAGCCAGAACTTCTGAGACACTAAGAGTTCCCTGAGTCAGATTGTTGGAGGTAATAGTTTAAGATGGTTCGGGTGTTGCTTAAAAAGTATTCCTATGACAGATAAGGAGGCGTCACATGGAGGTGATCTCTACGATGTGGGGACACCATGAGGATCAAGGACGGGGGTCTGTGCAGCAAAGGTGGTGACGGTGATGCCAGCTCTTTCCTTCGTGTCCTCCTCAGGTGGCCCTGCTTTCTTCACTTCCCGCTCTACTTCACGTTTTAAGGCCCAAGAGCAGTCTTAGTAAATTGCTTGCTCACCTGCCCTGGCACCTTGATTGCTCCCAGCAGAGTATTGGGCTCCTGTGCCCCCACCGGGGTTCTCCTGACCGCGGCCCGAGTCAGAGTGCTCTCCTCTGTAACCACCCAGCGGGCAAGACTCATTCCCGTTGTTGCCCTTGGAGTAATATCTAGCATTTTCTTTTTCATGTCTCTGTGTCTCTGTTTCCTCCTTTAGGTAGTGAGGTTAAATGATGATTATATGTGTTAATCCGCTCAGAACAGTGCTGAGAACAGTGCCTGGCTCATGGTAAATGCTCCATATGTGTTAGAAGTGATTTTTGATATCTCTGCAACTTTTTTTTTAAAGGAAGATCTACCCCTGACTTCTGCCTTTCTTTGCTAATAGGTGCCAAGATGTCTCCTCTGAATGGACACAGACAGACGGTGGCTGGGCAGGTCTATATCGTTCTGAAATGCGGGGAAGTGGTTTGTCAATTCAGGGCATTCCATCCGTGTTCATTCCGTGTTGTCTTCAATGCCCAGGGCACTCTGGGGATGCTGGAGGTTAAATGTGAATACTCGGATGGTCTCCACATTCACCCTTCAAGACTGGAATAAAGAGTTACTTCTTTCCCAGTAGTTCCATCTCCAGCTGTGATTGTGTGTGTGAAAGCCTGTGGCGGGGGGGGGGGGAGTGTGTGTGTGGAGGCGGAGGGGGTAGCTGATGAAGAGGAGGGTAGGGAGACTGTCACTGTTGCAGTGCCTGCAGTCAGCCCCAGTGTGGCATAGACTTCCTCACTTAATACCCTCACCAGTGCTGCGCGGAGGGTGTTATGATGTGTACTGCACCAGAAGGAGAAATAAGGTTCAGAGAGACTGAGCACTCTGCTCGGTCTGGTGAGCGGCGCAGCTGAGCCTTGACCCTAGGTCCGCAGAGCTGGTGACCTTCTCACCGTACCATGCCGCACAGCCCAGCAAGGCACTGCTGGGGCGCGGGCATCGGCTCAGGGCGAAGGAGCTGGGGGTCAGTGTAGGAGAAGGGAGCAGAGCTGTATTCCTTCTGCAGAGTCCTGGAGGAGGAAGCAGGGAAGGATGCTACCAGGGGTCTCTGGGGTGGGAGGCATGCGAAGCTGAAACCTCAGGTGACTGCCCGTGTGTGAGTGCTCCTGGGAGAGGCATAGTGTTGGGAGGTGTTTGGTGAATGAAAATTTCCATGAACATTTAGGTCTTTCTGCCTGGCATTAAATGAGAACAAACTTTAGAGCTGCGGGCCAGAGGACACCTTTACTGATAGCACCCGAGGTTACTCCCCTTCCCTAGCCCCCTGCAGTGAGACTCAGGATGGAAGGTCCCCGTCCCAGAGCAAGGACACAGGCCAAGTAAGTGGAAAAAAGGCACCGATTGTAAAGTGTAAAGAAAAGCCTTCACCCTTTTACTTCTAAAATCCCAGTATCCATGACAACTGGACCAAGTGCGGAAAATGGCTGTCCCCTCTCCTCCTCATTGTTTAACTTCCAGTTGCTACAGCAACTGAATATACTGGGCCTGCCAGATCCGCCAGGCGCTTTCTTCTCTCTCAGTCCCCCGTCATTGTGGGCCCTCCTCAATGCCAACATTGCTTTGTCCTCCCTTGCAGAAGTCTGTGAGAACCAGGATGGGCACAGTGTCCGCCCTCGGTGCTGCTGGAATCCTTTGAGATGGGAGAAGGCACTGGAACAAAGGGGCAGCAGAACAAAAAGCCCTGAACTGCTTCGCCCCTGCCTCTGAGGGTCTTTATCATCGTCAACCTGGGGATTGGAGAGTGGCCGGCTCGGCCTTTCCCAGGGGTGGTTTGGCACAGACACACAGTGAGTCCAGGAAGCTGGGTGGACAGCAGACTCAGCAGATAGGACTTCTCAGGAAGACAAAGCTTCCTTAACTTGGGTTGTGGTTTTTCTCTCTTTCCCTTTTCTTTCCTTTTCTCTCTCCTCCCTTCCTTTTTTTCCTTCCTCCCTCCCTTCTGTCCTTTCTTTTCTTTTTTCCTTCTTTTCTCTCTCCTTCCCTCCCTCTCTTCTTCTTTCTCTCCCTTTCTTGTATGTGTACTTGAAAAAATTATATAAAATTAGGAGCTTCAAAAATCTTTAACCAGTTTCTTTCAGTAATTTGCCCCAAGGAAATAATTGGATAATTGCACAGAGAATCCTCTGTGGTTCACTGCAGTGTTGCTGCCACTCATTTTACAGATGAGGAAACCGAGTCACACGGAGCCAGATCGAACCCAGGCAGCCTGGCTCCCCGCACTAAAACACTGAACTTGTTCCCCTTCAGTAGCTGGAAGGCACAAGGGTCCTGAAGGGGCCCTGAGGACGGGGGCCCCCAGGCTGCTTGGCCACAGGATATGTTGTTGCCTGGTACCGCCCATAGTGGTAGAGCAGGGGCGTCAAACTCACTCTCACTGGGGGCCACATCAGCCTCGCGGTTGCCTTCAAAGGGCCGAATGGAATTTCAATTCCTTCACAGTTAAGGAGCAGTTAAGGGGGCTGTCTTGGAGTGCTCCCAACAGTGACCCCGCCACTTCCCACTCCTGCATTGTAATTTTAGGACTGTATAAATGTAACTACTCCTTAACTGTGAAGGAATTGAAATTGCATTCAGCCCTTTGAAGGCAACCGTGGGGCTGATGTGGCCCCTGGTGAAAATGACTTCGACACCCCGGTAGTAGACTGTCGATAAACATGGAACCAAAATAAAGCCCAACTACACAAGCTGTTATCCTGTCTCTGCAGCCTAAGATGATCACCCCATTGTCACCAGTACCAGAAATGCCTTCTTGACAAAGCTGGCTTTAGAGATAAACGCATATTGGTCTTTTAGCTTTGGGCAAAATCATACGTAGGCAGAGGAACTCTGAGGATATTGACAACATGGAAAAAGCAGAGGTCTCTAGCCATCTGGAGATCCCTCTGAGCGGAGGTAAAGCTTGGGAAGCTCAGGTAAACAGATGTAAATAATTGGTCTTGGTTCCTCTCTCCTTGGCTGTCTGCTTTCCCTGCCTCCCTTCACTGTTGATGCTTTCGGCAGACTTAAAGGCCCTGAGGTTTCACAAGTGACCTTTCACAGGATGACTGGGAAGCACGGAGATGATTTAAAACGAGCATCTACACGCTTGTGACCAACTGTAGAGGACCTAGGCCCTCCCCTTCTCCTCTTCCTTCCATCCTTTTTTCTCTGTATTTTATTATTTTACCTCTAGACTCAGTTGTTAGTGCCTGCTTTTGCTTGTTAATTGTACTTTTGTGTTTTTGTTTGTGGCAGTAAATAAAGTGAAGGTTTGGTAATTAGCTCTTATAATTGGGATCACCCTCAGGTTAGGGGCGTGTTATTCATTCATCACTTTACGAACCGTTGCCTGCATTCCCTTTAGAAACGCTGGCATGGGGCTGGTGGGGGCCGGAGGGGGGCTGCAGGATGCACACCATTCCCTGCAGAGGTGTCCTCGGCTCACGATGGCACCTTGCGTCCCGCCTTCAGGACTTTCCCTCACAGCTGCAAGCAGCGCCGAAGAGCGTGGAGACGGGTCTTGTGGTTAATAACTCCCAGACCCTGCAGCCCCTCGGAGCACATTTCCACGCCGGAATCTGGACAGTGTTACCCCCGACAGTTCAGTCCCTGCCAGAAAGCTATCGTCTCCCCAAAGGGTGTCCATCTGCTTTTTCCCTTTTTTGGGCCAAAGAGACTGTCAGGAATTTTTAATTAAAAAAAAATATAGCTTACATTCCAAATGGGAACACCTGTATCTCTTATCAAAAACAAAGTTGATGACAACAACAAAAAAACAACCAAAACCAAAAACCTGTGAATTGTCTTCTCCAAGATTCTCCATCTGCCACCCCGGCCCCCTGCCAAAAAACAACACCCTTACAGACGGTGAAATAAAACCCAAGTGAGGGTCTCTGACTGGAAATAGTTCCTGCCAGACCTCACCCACTCGGTCAGCGCGCAGGCGGGGAAGCTGTGTTTGTCACCCATTGTCGCCAGGAGTTGAACTTCCAGGAAAAACAAAAGGGTCTTACGTTATGATTTGCTATTCTGCTTTTTCTGTCTGGACTCCTCCTTGTCCTCTTGCATCTTTAATTTGAGGGCTTTAGCTTTTAGACTCAGAGGGCCAGCCTTCAGGGGCCCGGGATGAGTTGGGAAGGCTCTTCCTGGGCTGGATCGGGAACTGCAGCCGGACACCAGCAGCCCTGCAGACTGTACGACTGTTTCCAGTTTCTCCGCTTCCGGGCCCACAGTCAGTCGGGTGGGACTCAGGAGTCCAGAGTCGTTGTGGGCTTCTTCAAGTTTCCCCAGAAATAGTCTGAAGACCCCAAACAAGTAAACCTCCAGCCCCCACACCATGCACACCCACATCTGATGTGGGCAGGGGACAGGCAGTATTCGAAGTAGTTCAGTTCAGGTGTGATGTTGACTCTAGATTCTCCTGTTTTCTCTGTAGTGTATGCAGTACGTTTTCAATTATATGAGAGTCTAAGGAGACAGGGAGGAGAGAACTTCAGATCCAGGGAAAACTGAACTAAAGTGGATCATCTTCAAAATGAGGAGGCAGAGGTGCCCTGAATGAAGGGCTTTTAGAGAGGGTTTACCCTGGTTTCTGACCCCTCTGACTGAAGAGGAGGCATTTGCCTTTGGTTTTCAAAAATCTTAGGTCCTCTTCTGAAAAGAAAAGGGTTAAAAGTACATTTCCTCTCTCAAACTTAAACCTCAAGTCACTTACCTTATGTGTGAGGATGCGCTTTTCCGTGAGTTGGTGACAAATGAAGAATGTCTTTAACATTGCAGTTCATCTTCCCTTTGGGACCCCACATTTTTTTTTTTACGTTTTCTCAAAATCAGTTGAACTGAAAATGCCATGCATGGTTTATTGAATTATCTAAAGAATAATAGATAGTAAGAAAAATTGTTTGGTCCTATAACCAAGCAAATAGATATTTGGACCTTCAGTTTGGGGAGAAATAAAACTAATTGTTGAAACCTCACTTGATGAGAACACTCCGTTTTGGCAGTGCAGTGACAGGAAAGAACAGATCTTTATTTGATAGTGGAACATACTGAGAATTACTTACTAACACTTTCACAGTAACTGCATGAAATCTGTGTGTGCCTTGTGGGCAACTATTACCCTCGTAACAATTCAGTTCCAATACCAGGTCTCTTTCAGAGAATAATAATGGACAAATTGCATAATACAAGTATATTTTCTATTATGTAGTTAATTTGCTAATTAAAATAGAATTTTTTTCTGTTGATCACAGAAATAAGTCCCCAAAATTTTGACCCATCTAGGGGAGAGAATATTCTTCAATCTTAAGAGACAGCAAAGGAAAGCTGGTCTGTTTCCGTAGACAAGAAAGACGGTGACAGGCAGCCCTCTTGTTACCGTGAGGAGAACTGGCCTTGCAAAGGAGCCAATAGTGTAGGTAGGTAGCAGAGATGAGACTGCTCTGCAGCAGGACTGCTCGACTTCCGAACTGTTGGCATTTAAAGCTAGATAAGTCTTTGTTGTGCAGCCTGTCCTGTGTGTGATAGGCTGTTCCACAGCAT